TTGTTCCTTCATGCGTAAAGTCCAGCGAGGGATTTGGAGATAATGCAAGGTGAAGCCCTTACTATGTGCTCTACCTTTTAGAATTCAAAGACAGTAGGATTGTTTGATTAAAGTTTCAGTTAGAGAGAATTTATGTTTGGATTTACTGATTATCACAAATTTTACTGTGTCGGCAAAATTTTTACTGTGTCGCACGCATTTATGTTTACATGCAAGATTCCAACCAAAATGTAGGTCTAGGGTCAAAGGGTGTGCAATTCCCTTTATCCATCACAGATGAAAGGTCAATATGACATCAGACGATGAGGAAATTTGTTTCGATTTATCATGATTAATTCAACATCCACTATGACGTGCTCTTTATATGAGTATATAAAGGGGTGATAGTCGAGTTGCAAATTGTCGCTCACCTTCATTCCTGGTCGACAAGCCTACAGGTAGGTACTTCATAAAGAAGAGTGTATTGTTCACCTATTCAAATTTACTGTTTATTTTATATAATATTTGAAACACTTAATTTCCTAAATTCTTTTGCAGACTATATCTTCCACAAATGCTTTTAAACGTTAACGATACTTGATAATTAACTTCCATGTCCTTTAAAGTGTTATATTTTTTCTTAACAGAAAGATGTTTGGACAAACGTTTATCCTTATTGCCGCATTGGCACTTACATCTGCCCAATCTGGTCTGTTTGATCGAACAAACATGGGGGAAAGGTCGTATTCTGATTCCAGGGGCATGACCAGCCTCCGTAGCTTAGGAAGCGACTTAGGCCTCTCTGACAGATTAGATATGGGACGTATGGACAGACAAGGAATGACTTCTGGAATGTTTGATACTCTTCGAGGCGGCGAGCAAGGAATGTCAACTTTGAGTTCTGGACTCGACCTGAACCGATTGAGTGATACGTCCGACGGCCTTCTCAGGGGTAGCAGATATTTGGACCCCCTGCGATCAACTGGCTTGGACTCTCTGCGAACAACTGATTTAACCTCTGGTAATGGCGAATTTATGCAGGACTTTAACAGAGGAGTCCGAATGAATTTGGACAATGACCTCTACAACGATCTGACAGGTTTCCCACGTCGCACTTTGAGAAGAAACAGCATGTCCAGCAACTTCATGGACAACTCAGATTCTTCAAATTCCTTCCCTGGCAGGGGAAGATTCATGGAAAACTTTGATTCATTCCCTGGCAGGGGCAGGTCTATGTCTTTGGGAAGATCAATGTCCAGAATGGGCGACAACATGAACATGATGAGGTCACGTGGTATGGAGCAAGGACGACGAATGGGCCGAAGGATGGGCAGACGTTTTGGAAGAAGAATGCAGAGCTATTTACCTCGCTCCGAAACAACCAGCACCGGATCTAGCAGAACTATGCGGGGCAACAATAGAAGGGATGAATCATTCAGATCCGGAAGAACAACTAGTTTGTTTTAATTGGAACATGTAATTAATAAATTATAAGCATTTCTTTCTTATTCTTTGCTTTTAATTAACAAAACCAACTGGACAAAATGGAAAAAAAATCAATTCTGGTAATCCTCTTTCAAAGAAAAGTGCAAACTCGAATTGACCCAAGAAAGAAAAAAAAATCGTTTCCTCTCCAATATTAAGAAGTACTTCATATTGTACTTATTTTCAAAGAGTGATAATAAACGTACCTTTATACCAAACAGACAATTTTAAGAAATATATATATTTTAAATAAAACACTGAGAGACAGTGAGAGATCGAGAAAACTTGCTTCCCCATCAAAAAGATATCAATCTCTTTTTTGTCATGGAGGTCTGAAGAGGTTTTGATTTCCTCTCTTTTATCAAAGAGTGTTTTATTCAAAAGTCCACAAAAAGAATGCAAAATCAAAGCAGGGCAAACACAGACCTCTCTTAACATCAAATGTTTTATAAGGTTCAGTGAAGAGTTTTCAATATTACATGTCGACAGACAATACCCGCTTTTGTAATCCTTGTCATGATCAGAGAAAAAAAACATACGAGATACTTTGAAGTGAATATAGCTGTCTAATAATAGGTATGAAAAGGACAGTCAATATTTCGTTATTCATAGAGCAATTTTCGTGATTTTCTTTGCCGGATAAGGATAAACATATATTGCAACTTGAATAAAGAATCAAAATTTTAGAAATTGTGAAGTCAATGTGTTTTTTATTAAGTTCTATAGATCTTTGAAATACTGTTTAAAGAATAAAAGTATGATGCTCACGGCTCCAGGAAAATATTACTGCATAGTTCTATTGATTATTCGTTTAAAACAGGTAAATTAAATTAAGGAACAAAGAGGCTCTCTATGCATAATGACTTGTTACAAGCATTTCATGAACCCTGGAAATCTAATATAAGTATTATAATTCAAATTAATTTCTTTCCTTATATACATGTTTCAAAAAATATTCAAAACTTGTTAATAATTTAATGTTTTTATGGACAGTTGTTTGTTTGGCCAAACTTGTATGCATGATTTTCCTTCCAACTTTGTTCAAATGTTTTCAAGGACTGTGAGTTTGTGCTTTTGTGATATGTGAGAATGAAAGATTTCGATTTAACGCGACGATATTTGCCCTTAAATTGCTTAATAAACAGAAAATGAGATAGATTTCAACCTTTTCTCTTTTTTCTGTGAACATAAACCACATTTTGATAAAGTTTTTTTTTCTATTTTTGTTAACTAGAGAAACTTCAGAATAGTAAATACATTTAGGAGTTCCTTGGAAATTTAAAACAAGTTATTTACATTAAGTTAAATGATTTTGGTACGATCTAAGAATACATGTATGTTTGACTTACAGTGCCAACATAATTCTTGAGCTATGGCTCTATAGAACAGATATATAATAATCAAAATTTCTACGTCCTCAGGCAAATTTTTGCTTTCCACCGCTTTTATATTAATTTTTTTGATAATGTAATCTAATACATGTATTTATACACTATAATGGATAAAAAAAGTAGCAGAACAATTTCTTTCACTGAATTTATTTTATTGAAACTCTTTCTCACAAAATGCAGAAACATCAAGGCATCCTAGAATTTAAAAATCGCAACCTTGAAGACTGCATTATCCTCCATTCAAAGAATTCACAGAAAGACAACTGCTCTTAAAAGAGCTCACACTATAAAAAAAATGTGTGTGTAGATTAAATTGTCCTCCAGTTCCGCTAGATTATGCGGCTTGAAATGCTGCATCGTTCTCCGGTCTATCTTCTTCCATACATGCTTATCAGGGTTGAGATGTGGATGACAAGGCTTCCTGAAATTGTGCGTGCCTTGAAGACAATATTAAGCCTGCATCACATAACGTCTCCTTACATGCATTCCCCACTCCTCCAGTTTGACATTGAGGGGAGGGCACTTCCGGTTCCATTGATTTTTCTGGATAAACTAAAGAATGTGGTGTTTATCAAAAATTTTGCGATTTCTTGTGATTGTAAGGAATTCAGGTATGCATTGTATGTCTTTTGGGTGGTAGATACAAAGGGTTCAAGTAAAATGAACATATACAGCGAACGGATACAAAACTCTTGTTAACGACGACCAGCTTTTAGCCATGTCAGCTTCACTTGCACATTTTTCTGTGGACATAAACCACATTTTGATAAAGCCTTTTTCTGTTTTTCTTTAACAATTAAAGATGTAGAACACATGATAACTAAAAAATATGAAAAATAAACACAATAAACATTAAGAAATTGAACTTCCTGCTTTTTAACGAAAATGGTCACAGTAGAGTAATTACATTCGATTGCATTTTTCTTTGGCCTTAATAAGGACTGCAAATTAAAGGCAAAATCGCAAGCAACTAGTAAATTGATTTTAAGGTTTTAAAATTTTTGAAATAATAAAAATGGTAATTTAGAATTTTTGACAAGTATATTTAAATATTGTTTTAAATAATACAGTGTATTTTTAATGCGACTACCAATTAACCATTTCATGGAAGCGTGAAAACAAATTATTTGTCTTTGTTCCTTCATGCGTAAAGTCCATCTAGGGATTGGATTATAATGCAAGGTGAAGCCCTGATTAAGTGCTCTAACTTTTCGAATTGAAAGACAGTCGAGTTGTTTGATTAAAGTTTCAGTTAGAGAGAATTTATGTTTGGATTTACTGATTCTCACAGATCTTACTGTGTCGGCAATCTTTTTTACTGTGTCGCACGCATAAAATTTGAATAGTTACTGTGTTGGAGAAAATTTTACTGTGTCGGGACCAACACAGTAAAACGGCTCATGGAGAACCCTGCAATCTACATACTTCAAATTCATAGAGGTACTTAAATTTATACTCATACGCAAATTCCAATTTAGTACAAATTCAAGATTTTTCAGGTACCGATATGCTCAAAGTCAATCAAAAGTGTCATTATCAGGTTTGTTCGTCCTATGTACCGGTTAGCACAGTCTGTTTAAATGAAACATATGGAGATAAGGGTCCATTTGCAATAATTATTGCTCACCCTGTTTCACATTCGAATAGCGATCGCCCTATCGTATACATTTTATATCAACATTATCATGGTTTGAGTCATTTCTTTTTTCTTTTTTTTTCATTTTTTAATTTAGATATTCTATTATGGCTAAAATGTAAATTTAACTGCTCAGTACATTCGTTTGACCAGTTACGAACAGGGAACCGATGCGGTGCTATAAATCTATGACGCTTTTATTCCCAAATCTAAGTTGCACTTCTGATAAAGGGTATATATTTTTTTATATTATTCTCAGTTTAGATTAACGTTATATAAATTGCTTATAAAGTAAATAAAATTAAATTAATGAAATAATAAATCATAATTTCAGCAAAAATTCATGCAATCCAATAATATCAAAGGAGTTATGAAAAATTAATACACTGAAATATTATGGTTTGAATATGATTTAATTTTTTTATGAATTTCATTTACTACTACGTATATAATATAAATAAAAAGCGCAATAATAAATATATACTTCAATAAAAGTTTTATTTGCCGTCCATTGTGGCAAAATAAATAAAGAAATAAATTGAAAAAAAATACTGGATTGTGCGTTCACTTTTCATTGACGGAACTCATCTAAGAATAGTCTGTTGGATTCTAGAGAATTTAAATCAAACTGAGTTAGCGAGGTGTGTGGCAACGCACTTTGAAATTTTTTTTTCAAAGTGCGTTAAAATTGGGACAAAATCAACGCACTTTGAAAATCTTTTTCAAAGTGCGTAAAATTTGGGACATACCCAATGCACTTTGAAAAAATTCTTCAAAGTGTGTTAAGAGTGTACATTAAAATTTTTACCATGCAGAAAGTTAACGCACTTTGAAAAAAGTTGTGTATAACAAATATTCTAGACTTAGATTTTAGTAATTATGAGTATCAATTTGTAATTAATCATATCTTTTGAAAAACTTTTTAATATTTGTGTATTGATTTAACCTCATTGAGAACAAGAAGACGAGTAGAATATCTCTCAGCCCAATTATCATTTTCTTTTTGTATACATATAGCCGTAGGTATCAAATTGAACCACCCCCCAAAGGTAAACCCAATTTTCAATGCCTATAATATATATCTTTGCAAAACATTTGTGTGACTAAGTCCCACTCCCGGTACCGATGCCTACATGTATATATGATGCATATGCTATATATGTATTTTCATAACTGGTATGACGTTGAAAACTTTCAATAAATTTAAGCTTACATAAAATGCATGCAAACTGGAAAAATTAAGTACAGTAAAACATTTAAGAGAGAAAGAATTTTCAAATTAAGGAAAAATCAAAATTGCTCACTTTCATATCCTGAAGCGACCTTAAAATTATCACCGAAAAGTTATCCAACATGTTCAATTATTTATCATTTTCAAGATTTGAAGAATATCGATCATACACATGTTTTTCAAAGTGCGTTAATATGGTCGATATTAACGCACTTTGAAAAGAAATTTATTTTTTTTAAAAGTACGTTTATTTGATCTCAAATTTAACGCACTTTGAAAAATGTTTTCAAAGTGCGTAATTTTTCAATGTGCGTTGTAACAGAGGTGCATAAAATATACAGATTGGTTTAAAATGTTTCTACAATGAGGTTTCTAATTTCCAGTGCTAGAAAGTGTAAAAATTTTCAGAAAACGTGCGCAAAAAAAACTTTTGACATCAATTACACATATTTGCGTTACACATTTTTGTAACCTTATGGTCAGACTGAAAACGATAAATGATCTATTATGATTTAGATGTAATTTTTACTGTTTGGTACAATCAGTTGACCAGTTCAGATCTCTCAGGGAACACATTCCGTGGTCTTATTAATATATGTCGACATTATTTCAAAATCTAAATTGCAGCCTATGATAAAGGGTTTAATTTTGGAAGAGTTTTTTTTACTCTCAATATACAGTGTACATGCAAAACAATAATACAAGAGTTCTGCAGCAATGAAAGAATATGTTTAAAAACTTAAATGATATACAATAAAAATATTACATAAAGAAAATTATAATTTTTTGGGGAGTGGGGGATGGGGTGGGGGGATCTCCAGTGTAGATTGTGTTTTGCTTTCCATTTTTGACAGAATGAAGCGGGCGTCTATTTACATTTGCAGACGTACATAAATTGCCTTCATGAAAATTATACCGCATACAGAACGTGCGTATCCCAGCATTATTTATTTATTTATGTTTATGTATTAATTATTGATGTTTACATTTTCTTACCTCAGAAGCTGAACATTTCCATTTCCAGGGTTTGAGTTTGTACTAAAATCCGTTGAGTTTAACTTGGTAGAGAGCGTACTTCAAATGTTTCCTACCCTGAAATCTAGAAATGTACTCGGTGGATTTCATACATGGAGATTGGCATTTGAATGGTAGTATGCGTTCGCTAAATGTGTTTTAACCTTGGGGCCTGATCTTTTCATGATTTATTAGATCTATCAATATTAAGATTCGTAACCTATTTCAGAAATCAAAATCTTCAGAATTACACAAAATACATCATCTTAGGACAAACATAAATTAAACACTTTCGATTGTTAACGTAAAAAAAAAAGATCCGGCTTTAGTTTTGTTCTGATAGATTTCTTTTTTTTTTCGAAGAGGCCACAATAACCAATTTTTTAGTGAATTCTTAGTTACTCTCAATCTAAAATTGAAGTATTTGCTAACAGCACGTATATTGTAAAAATAGTAGCCACTGTTTCTTTGTACAACTTTAGATTTCCCAATCACAAAGAACTGCTAGTGGTCAACAATTACGTTTTTAGCATCTCATACCCATCCATCAGCTAAGTTTTTAGGAGGTTCAATGATCCAATATTTCACAATGTGCATCCTAACGTCTGGTACGATGGAAGTAAACATAGATATTTTATCCCCAAAACAAAATTTAAGTGATGTAACATCTCATAAGTTTAAACAAAGGTCTTGACTTCAAAGAAAAAATAATAAAATTTACTACACAATTATGCAAAAAAGCAACGGTTAGTTACATGTAAGGGACATTTTAGTAAATCATTTCTTATTTCAAATGAACCCCAAGTAAAAATTGAAAAATAATTTTTATATTCTAATACATTTCTCATTTTAAGATGAATAATATTCTCTGATTATTCTATTTTTCAAGTCTTTTAAAACATGAAAATTCACTTTTAATTTTTATTATATCGGAAAACATTTTTTTCACTGAAACATCATTGCAGAAGGTCTCGGATGAGAGACTTTTCTAATTACTTTTATCAATCACAGATAAAAGGTCAATATGACATCAACGGTTGGGGAAACTTATGTGTATGTATCACAATAAATTTATTTTCAACAATGACGTACTAAAATCTAGAGTATATAAAGAGTTGCTGGTCGAGTTGCTTACTGTCGCTAACCTCACCTTCCTCCTTTCTTGGCAAACCTAGAGGTAAGAACCAATTAATGAACTGTTAATTTTAACTAATTTAACCATTTTTTGAAAGTCTTATAATACATGTATAAGACATAAATAGTTAAACTCTCTTTAAACACTGATTAAAGGTTTTGGTTTTGTATTCTTAAGTGTTTTACAGTGTTGACAATAAATATCTTTTATGCATCTGTAATCCAATATTCGGGGATAAATAGTTTTTGTCTCTCTGTCTGTCTGTTTGTCCGCAAAAACTTTAACCTAGCCCATAATTTTTGATTTAGTGGAGCTGTGACTTTTATATTTCACATGTGTATTCCTTGTGATAAGACCCTTCTTTTGATGCCACCAAATTTGACCATGATATTGGAGTTTGACCAATTTTTACACAAAAAATCCAAGTTTTTACTTTGGCCAAATCTTTAAAACGATAGATACTAGAAATATCATATTTCAGATATAATTTTTGTTGGGAAGTCCTTTCATTTGAATTCAACAACTTTACTTTTTGACTTTGACCTTGGAGATTTCCGTACTTACAAAAAACTTACCTTCTTTCGAGTGGTTAGGGCTTCAACCTAACAACCAAATTAAATGATAAACGTGACGAGTTTAACGTTTCTATTGTCAACTTCCCTTACTTATGCAGCAATATACATTCACCACCTTTATACGGAGTGTATATATCTCAGTTGATTCAGTACGCAAAAGCTTGCTCTTCATATGAACAATTTCTAAAACAAGGTAAATTATTGACAAGCAAATTGATGAAACAAGAATATCAGCAATCTCGTTTAAAGTCATCATTTTGTAAGTTCTATGGTCGATACAATGATCTTGTCAGCAAATACAATTTATCATTGAGTCAAATGCTGACTGACGTTTTTCATACCAGTTATTAGTCCATCATTTATACACTGAATTGACGACGGATTTCTCCGTTATTTCACGATCATAACTATGAGCGCACGGCGGGTGTGACCAGTCAGCAGAGAATGCTCACTCCTCCATGGCACCTGATCCAACCTCTGATGTTTCGGAGATCTGTGTTTGCTCTGCTCTTGTTTTGTGTTGTTTTGACTTTGAGATTGAATACTGTTCGTTATCTCCGTATCCTTCACATACCGAGAACCTTGACCATAACATTTGAAAGGCTAGGGCTAGGACTGTAATACTCAAATATATATTTAATCCTTGTGACAAGACCTTCCATTTGACATAAAGAATTTTGATCTTGACCTTGAAGTTCCATCTACTTTTAAAAAACTTTAACCTTTGCTATAACTTTTGAAAACAGTTTGGACCAAGACTTTCATATTTTAAATATGTAATCCTTGTGACAAGTCATTTTAAAAAAAAAAACAACAACTTTGACCCTTTGCCATGTTACCTTGACCCTGGAGATTGATATACCTTTCAAAAAACTTATCCTTGGCCATACATTTTAAACAGGTAGTGCTAAGCGCTTTCATATTTCAAAATTGTATTTCTTGTGACCAGACCTTACATTGGATACCAACACAGTTTAATTTGCATTTAAGAAGAATTTAATCCTCACTATGTTGCCATACGGGGGCATCAGTCTTTCACAAACGAATCTTGTTTTTTTTTTGTAGAGATGTTGAGAAATATCTTTCTCCTCGTCGCTGCAATGGCGGTAGCATCTGCACAGAATCGGCAAATGTTAGACAGAAATGGCATTTACGGCCCTTCAAACGGACGAGACCAAACAGGACGAATGTCATATTCTGATTCAATGGACATGAACAATCAACGAGACGTAGGAAATAACCAAAGGCTCGACAGGCAATTCAACCAAAATGGACTGTCCACAATGGGTTCGCGCAACTTGAGAAATGGACTTTTGAGCAGTTCAAGTTCTGATGCATACGACCTGGATGGTATGAACCGACAGGACATGACGTCAGGAAGGTTTGATACTCTTAGAGGCGACCGAAGGATGACAAGTCTAGGTTCTGATTTTGACATGGCCAACGGTCTTTCCAGGGGTAAAAGATTTTTAGATTCTACCATGCGCTCAAATCGTTTTACGAATGGGAATGACAGATTTATGCAAGATTATGATCGAAGAATGCCCAATGGCCGAAATTCAATGTTTTCTGAAAGAGATGGCATGGATTTCTCGAGATCTAATTCCCAATACTCACCCATTTTGGATTCATTCAGACGATCACCTTCATACTTAAGAGAAATGGAATCGTATAATATGAACAGGAGATATCAAAATGGCGACGGCAGAATATACAACGATTTAACCGGCTTCCCACGCCGCAACTCAGAAGCAGACGGTATGTCCACCAACTTCATGGATAACTTTGATTCAACCAATTCATTCCCTGGAATGTCTATGGAAGGTTTAACTTCCGAACTGGGTGATAACATGGGTATGATGAGGTCATTTGGCAGTACGCGGGGTCAAGGACGACGTCTGGGGAGAACGAATAGCAGACGTCTTGGAAGAAGATACGAGAACAGTAACACCGGATCTAGAGGAACGATATAGATAATGCGACGTTGTTTAAGGATTTACATTTACATTACATTAAATACAGGAGCAAAAAGGCCCATTAGATCTTTTTTAATGTAATGTAATGAATTAAAATAAAGAGAACTTGCATGATTCTTGCTTTAATTTGATTTCAAGAAGACACGGTGAATTAATATTACTATGTATTTGATATTTCTAATAAAAGCTTTAGTATTTTATCAGTTAGAACTGAGCAAGACTTTTTCAAGTTTAATTCTTTGTCGAACAAAGCAATTGTTTGAAATAGAATCTTTAAAATATTGATTTTGTTCTATTACATGTCTTAAGTCGTGTGTTAATGAACGAGGATATATTGATAATAATACAGAAAAAAAATGTTTAAGCAAAATGTGAAAAATTGTATTTTTCAATCTCCATGCAACTTCAAAGTAAAACCTAAGAAATTTTTTGTCTGACCTTAATCATATATATAAATTTTAAAGAAATATCAAATAAAAGCATAAAACATTTCAGTATATTTTTTTCGTGCAAGAAATGCTAAAAGTATTGTAAATGTCATCTGACACAACAAAAGAATAAATTTATAATTATGTTATCCAAAAACTACATGAAAATAACGTAGCGACTGAAAAGATGTAATGAACTCAAAATCGCAAAGGACTTAAAACATTGTTATATGGCTTAATATGAAAATGATTTCGTTCTTTCCTATACCTTCTTAGAAAATCTTAAATAATAAGCGGACCTTAAACTTTAAAGATTAAGTAAATGAATACATCATCCTGTATGTTCCTTTATCATTCCCAAACTATTCGTTAAAGCAATACATGATTTCTTCAGGGTCTAATTATTGTAAGCTTTGAGTGAATTTTGTATGCATTTATTTTAAAATTGATATTACAAAAAGATTAAGAAATTTGATAAAAAAAAAAACAATATTATATATAACAAATGTTTGGATATTGGGACTATTCGCCATTATGTGTCGTTTCTATTTTAGTAAAAATAGTAGAATATGACGTAGTAAGAAAATTATTAGACTCAATTTTACACTCTTTCCAACAATCTTGTTTCACGTTGGAGCGAACCAAAACTCATAATACTGCAGCAATGATCTGCATTACGAATAAGCCAAAACGTCAGTCGTGAATAATATTTATGAGCAACGTTTAGTGTAATCAGGGATCTCGGTTACATGTGATCTCATCCAATGGGGAAATCTCCTCGACATGCATTGCAATTCTAACGTGCAATATGGAGAAAAACTTTATAGTTTTTCTGCATTTGTAGAGCGTGGCGAGACTCTTACTATAATCATCAAGCCAAGAAAGCATACGGATCATTGCTAAGCTGACATACATCTGATTTCAGGTTTTCCAGGAATAAAGGTGAAATGTGTTCTAATTAATAAACCCACACAAATTGTAATCCTTAACATGCACTATTAACGCGAAAAAAATTTAAATATGCATATGTATATCGCAATTAATCAGACACATTATTAAATTGATATTTTTTCTACTCTTCTTTATTCTGAATTAAGATAGATAATGAAGGAAATCTAGAGACACCTTATTAGCCATGCTGGTAGCCTTGTTAATTGAATCATTTCATTTTTGTGTATTCTTTTTGTCTTCTGAATCTATGCATAAAATACAGATACTGTTATAGAAAGATACCGATATATGTAAAATTAACAAATAAATCTAATTGATTTTTTTTAGAGAATTTGGTTGCTCATTTCACAGTTTGTATTGTAAAAAAAAATCTTAACTGAACTATTCATTAGATGTATGTATATTTTTGACGCTATATATATTGAAATATATTGACAAGTATTTGCTACACAGACTTGACGTTGCATGCAAAGTAGCATCATAAACAGTCCAAACGACACATACTCGGAAAATTGTCTATATTCAATGGAAGGCATCATAATTCATAAAAATTGCAACAGCAGCTAAATAGCAACAACGAGTAAAAAAGTAGATAATATAAACAATATATAGAGATGAAGAAAAGTATTCAAGATCAAAAGTCCATTTAAAAATGCAAACGTTTGAAAAGAGTAAATACATGACTATAAAACATCAGATATTAGATCAGGTGCCATAGAGAAGTGAGCATTCTCTACCGATTGTCAAGATCGAGAGAAAGCAACACATTGATACAATGTATTTGATTTTTTTTTAATTCTTACGATAAAAACATTTATTAATTTTCAGTTGAAATAATTATGTGACTGTATGATTTTGCTATGGGGTAAACTTTGTTTTTCTGATGACGTAGAGAAACGAGAACAAGGAAGATTATACATATATGAAGAGTAGTTTTGATAAAAAAAGAAGTCTTCATCTATTAAATAGCAACAAAAAATGGTTTGTGCATAATGTACGGTGCAGGACCAATGCCATTTCTTAGTAGTGAGAAAATTGATTTAACATCATTTTAAGAGGTAGCTTTATTCCATCTATTATCTTCAGATGTAATTTGTTATGCAACACAATGATTAATGCTTTCCTAGTGACTATAAATAGTTGCATAACCCTATTCCTACCGTCATTCGCCAAAACTGCTTGAAGGGAATACAAAAAGGTAGGAAGAACATTAATAGGATGTAAAAAAAAATAAAAATATCGAAAAATCCTTGTGTATTTTGTTTTCAATTTAAATATACAAATATTAAATGATTAAATTCATTTTTATGAAATAATAAAAATAAATTTAAAAAAGTATTACGAAACCCTTTACAGTATTGCGTCAATCTTGTTGATCTACATTGAAAAGAAACTTGAAAGCCAACTTAAATATCTTTAAAATAATCTGCTTTTTTATGCTTAAAAGATCTTAAATACAATTGTTATCAGTTTTTTTTTAACAAAAGTCATACACCACCCAGGAGGCTCATCCAATTGCTTACATCATATTGCGATATCTCTATGTTTACAAATATTCCTCCTTCCGTTATATATTAAGATAAGTATAATTGGCAATGAATATCGGACATTATGTATAAGACATAACGATTATTCGCCTATTTTGAAAAAGCATTTCTTGTTTAAAAATTGGCATATACACATGTACCTTTAGCAAAAACGTAATAAAAAGATATACTTAGATTCCTTATTTTTCCAAATATTCCTCCAGTTATATATCAAGATAAGTATAATTGGCAATGAATATCGGACATTATGTATAAGACATAACGATTATTCGCCTATTTTGAAAAAGCATTTCTTGTTTAAAAATTGGCATATACACATGTACCTTTAGCAAAAACGTCCAACTAAAAAGATATACTGTAGATTCCTTATTTTTCGCCTTATTATCGCAAAAAATCGCGAGAATAATGATTCCAACTAAAAATAAAGGCGAGTAATTTTATTTCGCGTGTGGTGCTTCTCTTTACGCGATAAATAATTCCATATTTTATTTAAACTTTAGTAATATTCAGTTTTTTAAACAGTATATCAGTGGGTCGACGATAGGGTTGCTGGATGATCAAGTCATGAAATAAAGTAATTTATTTACTCCAATGCTAATTAATAAATTCAAATGGATTTGTATTACGTTGGGGATAAAATAATTTTATTTTAGCATCGCTATACCTTTAACTTTTTGTAGTACATGTAATGAAGGTGTTCTGTCCGGACTGTTGTAAATGATTGATTGTATGTAAATAACGTCCCTCTCGAGAATTTTTCACTCATACTGAGACCCCACTACTTACCGATGGAAAGCTGCAAATTTTGTCTTATGCTCAGCACTTACGGCCATTGAGCAGTGAGTGATTTTTATCGTGCCATAACCTACTGCGACAATAGACCTCAGTTTATAATGTCTCATCCGAAGGACCGGTTAAGGCGTCCAAAAATGGGATTCGAACCAGCGACGCAAAGATCAACTCCTTCCGCATATTCTATGAAAGAAATAATTTAGAAAAATTTTAAGATTCTCGTTTTTAAAACTGATATATAATTGAGGATTTGTTTCCATTCAATCAATTTTTGAACAAAAACACGATTGCTATCAATTATCGAAGACAAAATTAAGTTGACTTGTAGACCAAGAAATCTATACGACATTTTTTTAGTGATATGCTCGACATTTTATGTAATTTTACATTTGGTAAGATGTTCAATAGCTGATCTTATTACGTAAGGAATTTTGAACCTTAGTTTTATTCTTTTTTTTTATAAAACTTAACAAATTTGTTAAAGTTTTCATTCTATCTCTTTATAAAAAAAAGTTGATTATTTTCGAACAGCCTTCGTATATCAATTTCATTTTGCAAGATATAATTTCTATTTATTTAGAGAGAACAACTCAACTGTTTTTTTTTAATTATTCAATTTAAATGAAGGATCATTTTGGGATATGCTTTCCTTCTTGCTGCTGCATTATTAACAGTTTGTGCACAGGTGCAGGAAACTTGGGAAAGAACCTTGGATAATGCTCTCAGAACCATTGGCTGACGTAGAATGAGAGAACCATTTGGTAGCCAAGGAAGGACAAGAACAATCTTTTAGAAATCACATGTTTCCACCAGACCATATTTTCGTTTTGTTTTAGATAGTTCTCTTAAAAGGATAAAAATAAATTCATGAACTATTCGCTATGTTTAGAAAATAAAAAGATTTCTTAAAAAGAAAAAAATATCCTTAAAATATCCAGGACGTCTATATCTAAGAAGAATAACACAATGTTTCTGATTTAAAAATATATTTTTATAATGTCATTTTTGTGGCTTGTTTATCCACGATCAGAATTTCACTGTCTATTAAAAAGCTTAAGAACTGGTACATTAACTAGATGATAGCAGAAACTTGATATTAAATAAAAAAAAAAAAGGCAAATACAGGATTGACAAACGGGAACATCATATACATGTCATTATCAGGACACAGATGTAATGTTTAACTCTAGCTTTGAGGTCACATTTTCATCGATATCATGCAAGCAAATCAGTTTATGTATTATTCTGTAGCGCAGTGATTGGAAAGAGAAACGTACCT